TATTTTTTATTTATTTTTATTTATTTTTATTTATTTTTATTTATTTTTATTTATTTTTATTTATTTTTATTTATTTTTATTTATTTTTATTTATTTTTATTTATTTTTATTTATTTTTATTTATTTTTATTTATTTTTATTTATTTTTATTTATTTTTATTTATTTTTATTTATTTTTATTTATTTTTATTTATTTTTATTTATTTTTATTTATTTTTATTTATTTTTATTTATTTTTATTTATTTTTATTTATTTTTATTTATTTTTATTTATTTTTATTTATTTTTATTTATTTTTATTTATTTTTATTTATTTTTATTTATTTTTATTTATTTTTATTTATTTTTATTTATTTTTATTTATTTTTATTTATTTTTATTTATTTTTATTTATTTTTATTTATTTTTATTTATTTTTATTTATTTTTATTTATTTTTATTTATTTTTATTTATTTTTATTTATTTTTATTTATTTTTATTTATTTTTATTTATTTTTATTTATTTTTATTTATTTATTTTTATTTATTTTTATTTATTTTTATTTATTTTTATTTATTCAACAACTTACTTTCGTCACTAGATGATTTTCTCTCACTATTGACAGAAAGGTTTCGCTAGTAGCATCCTGTATTCTAAAGATGTGTTTTAGTAAGGAATTAACGGTAAAAATTTCAATTTTATTATGTGAGAATAGATAGTGTTAAAAACTCCTTGTGACATGCTTCTCATCAAATAACATTTTTAATACTAAATACGTCAAGAAACTCACTATTATTGGATTTTTAGAAAACATTGTTTCATTACCTACTATTATTTATTAATAAAGTAAATGTTTTGGCAGCTTGTAAAATATATCGCTCTCCAAAGTTATAATAATGTGCGTACAATATACTTCTAGTTTTGTTTCAGAAACGTCCCGTTTTGATAAATTGGTTAGTTAATAAATCCAGAATTTAATAAAGCATTTGAAGTAGGCGTAGGATCATTCATCACAGAAGTAACTTGTATAATTATAGTAATATTTCAAGATAATGTCTCTTTAATGATTGGAAATTTGAAATACATTTTTTAAATATATAAAATAAATTAATGATAATCTTTAAATATCAAAATGTAGCTTAAATAGTATACATTTTTTGTATGATATACGTATAGCTATCTCATTTGTTTAAAATTCTCTACTATACTTTAATTTTTAGTAAAGGTATTTTTCTAATTTTTGTATCTATTTTAGAAAGGTTCTTCAGGAAATATATTTATTGGCTGTTCCAGGACCTTCTAGGCCACTTCAGTGTTCTCCTCCTGTTCCAGGTATTTCCTCAAGAGTTCAGATGAGGATACTCCTCGAAAAAAAATTCTAAAGAAGAAAATTACTGAACTGCAGAAGGAATATTTTTTTAGAACTAATAAAATAAGAAAACTACAAAAGGTAACATGGGAGCAAAAAAAAACAACTTATGTCTTTGCAATGTATGGTTTGTGAGTTAAAACAAAAAAATTTATTATTAGATCAACATGAAAATGTCATGATAGAACATTTTGGAAAAAATAAGGAAATAGTTAAACGTCTATTTAAAAAAAAAAACCCAAAAAAAGAGTGTTAAAAAATATATGAACATTCAGTTAGAACTTTTGCAGTTACATTACACTTCTTTTCTCCAAAAGCTTATAATTATGGTAGGCAAAGATTTTACAATAGTTTACTACATCCAAAACCTTTGTCAAAGTGGTACTGTTCAGTAGATGCTAAGCCAGGTTTTACATCTAAAACAGTGGATTTTTTAAAATTAAAAGTTGCCAATTTAAACAAAAACTTGATTTGTTCCCTAGTATTTGATGAAATGTCGATTAGACAGCATTCAGAATTTGTAGGTGATAAATATTATGAATATGTAGATTGTGGTGATGGGCTTTGTGGTCATAGTATAGATTTAGCAAAGGAAGTATTAGTTTTTATGTTTGTTTGTATAAATGAATCCTGGAAAATACATTTTGGATATTTTTTAATTGCAGGAATTGGCAGTGAACAGAAGGTATTCTTTACTAGACAGGCACTTAAATTATTGAAAGACATTGAAATTAACGTAAGCAATGCTACTTTCGACGAGTGTATTGCAAATTTTAGTATGTGTTCATTGCTGGATTGTAAATTTGATCATCTTAATGTAAGATCGGATTTTCAGTTTGACAATAAAAAAATACTTTTTGGTTCCAGATCCACCACACATGATCAAATTAATTAGAAATTGTTTAGGTGATAAACAAAAATGTATAACTTCTAAAAAAGATATTGTTGATTTTGATTTTACAAGAAAATTAAATCGATTTCAAGAAAATAAGGGGCTTCATTTAGGTAATAAAATAAGAAAACAACATGAAAATTTTTTTAAACAAAAATGAAAGTAAGATTAGCGACGCAATTACTTAGCCAATCTGTGTCAGATTCCCTCATGTATTGTAAAAATCAGCTTAGATTAAAACAATTTAAAAAATGTGATGCAACTTCCGAATTTTTTTTTAAAATTAATAATGCATTTGATATTTTAAATTCCCATAAACTCTTACAGTTTGGTTACAAGCAGGCTTGTTTAATGTTAAAGATATTCAAACTTTTTATGTTATATTTTATAATTATATTCCGGGCTTACAATTTATTGATGGAGAATCAGTTGTAGATTCTATAAGAATATTTGATTTTGTTATAATGTTAATGGGACTAGAAGCTTAATTAGGTATATATGAAGAATATGTTTATAAAGAAATTCTAAAATTCATTCCTAACTATAAGTTAAAATAGGATCATTAGGAATTATTTTTGGGTGCTATAAGATTCCAAGGGGGTTACAATAACAACCCAACATGTAGACAGTTTATCGCAGCGTACAAAAAAAATTGAATTCACGCTGAGGTAAGGGATGGTGGAGCCGGAAACTGTGTACCGTTAGATGATATTAACATTCTCAACATTAAAAAAAAAAAAACCACCAGAACAGATTATAAATGAATCTGTGGTGGATCGTATGGATTTCAATGATTATAACACTTTAACCAAATTTTTAAATGACCATGATTATGCCTTTCAAAATGATTCTTTATCATCATATAGTTTGGAAGTTGTCACCTACATTGCTGGTTTTGTAAGTTTTAAATTAGGTAAAACTTTGCAATGTGAACACTAAATATCTGAACTATATGGTGCTAAAGAAAACTTTTTAACTTAATTATTTTATCAAAAATCTAGAAAATTGTTATGTTACCCTAGCTCGGATGTTGTAAATATATGTACCAAATCTGAAAAGTTTTTAAGATAGGAGCAGATCAAAGATGGATTTAAAATTAATAAAGAAATTATATCCATAAAAGTTCTTAATTATTTTGCACAACAAAATTTATGTTCTACTATGAAATTTCATGATCTAACTTCATTAAAAAGTCATGAAGTTTTGTTAATTAAAAGTATTATTAACACCTATTTAAATAAAAGAATTCATTTTATTTGCAAAAATGCAGTCAATTCAGAAAAAATTAGAAATAAGTATACTTAATTAATTTTATTTAAAGTTCAATAATTCTGCGGTTTGATGGAAAAACCATGTCCAATTTTGTTATTTTAACATGTATGTATTTTATGCACTTCTGTATGATTTATGCGAATACCGTTCCACTATGAATATGTACTGTTCATGTTCAAAACCACATGTGACATATTGTCAGTATAGTGCCGTTGTAACAGACAAATTATATCGATCTAACGATAATTTTTCCAAATCGTCAAACAGTTTTAGTTTCCTTCACATCCGTGAATTGTAATATTGTCGAGTACCGTGAATTTAATTCGTTAAACAAAAGCTGATATTTTATCATAGTTAATTTTCGATAGCACAAAAAGCTTTATTGTATATTATGTAAAAAATTATTTGTTCTTTAACTGTTTTCATTAATGGAGAAAACAGTGTATTTTTAGTTTAATGCACAGGCAAATAATTTCCCGTCCAAGGATAAATTATAGTTTCACCAGTCTAGGGTAATTCTGATGTTTCTTCCAATTGCAGAAAATTAATGTCTACCATTAGACACCACATACGTATCATGATAAAGCCAACGTATTGTTTTGAATATTATAAAGAGAAAATTTTCTTTAACTAATCTGTTTTTTTTTTTGTATTTCTTGACGCTTGCTGTCCCCACAGAGCTCAGTACCGTATATCCAGACTTGTTTTAATAAATGTAATTTGGTATATTAGAAGTATATTGTATGAATGTTAAACACTCCATATAATGTATTACAAAGTTATTTATAAATATGAACACAAATAGTTAGAATTAATGATATCTTAAGTATGGAAATAATAGTTGCATATCGCATACCTCAAGATACTGTCTTAGGTCCTATGTTGTTTAATTTTATTTTAAATAATTTGTCGTTTATATACATATGAAACTATTGTAAGTTTTTAAGACGACACAGCTATCCTGTAAAATGCAGAGACCTGAAATTCATTAAAATTATTAATGGAAAGAGACCGGTCCTGGTAAAATTATAGTAAATCGTAAAATTTACCAGCTCTTAAATTTTTTTAAATAATTTAGTAAATAGTGCCTAGTTAATCAAAAAGTAATTTATCGTGTGACATATAAGTGCATCATTATGCTGTAGTACTGTAAGTACAGTCTTTCTTCATAATTCTACTACAAAATTAAAGATTTTTATAAATCCATTTACAATGAGGCCCCAGTGTTATCAGTCATACTAGTTTTTTTTTTATTGGAGCGTCCTTGCTTCAAGAGCCGTTGTGACCTGGCGGTCAGGGCCGGTGCGAGGACGATCTCTACTCGAAATAATGTCAAGAATTATGGAACACGAGACTGATGACTACAGCAGCTCTCTAACTGCACTCCAAACCAATGTTTCCCAAAATATCGCCAAAACTTATTTGTCAGTCGTAACACAACAATTTCCATCAAAAGAACAAGCCATAATATTTAACTCTATCGAAAATGCCTCTCATCAAGCCAAAAAATATATTGTTCTCTTCTCGAATATCCAATCAAAGAATATGCATGTATCTTGCCAACAAAAGTGTAGTTAATACATTCATGACCAATTACGGACAAATCAAAATTAATGGCCAAACAGTAACAGCTCGTAGACTTATCACCCCTGCCGAACGTTTGGTTCTTTCCAATGGTTGTCCAACAATTCCCCATGATTTGATACTCCAGAAACTACAGAATATTGGTCTCAGCTTTGTATTACCTATGGTTTTCCTAAAAATTAATTTAACGTCGCCGGAATTTAGTCATATTCTCAGTTTTAGAAGACAGATTTATGTTAACCCATCGAATTTTAATGTCCCAGAATCTATAAAAATTAACCACGAGGATACGTCGTATAGAATATTTCTATCTTTAGATAACCTGACTTGCTTTAAATGTAAAAAAGTAGGACAAAAGGCATCCAACTGCAGCGAACAAACGTTTAGTAATACTCCTACCTCTTCTCAACCACTCGCTAATCAAAACCCTATCTTGAATCAAATAGCTCCTCAAGAAGACAACGACCAGATCACTTTATATTAGAATGAATCTACAACCTGCCAAATTTTAGCTCCAGACAACGAAAAACTAAACAGCAACTTACGAACACATGTTACCTCAAACAAACGCTCTGCTTCTGCAATACTTACCCCTCCTCGACATCCTTCCGACGCTATACCAGACAACCTCTTCGCTACACCTCAAAATGTAACTGTACTAAAGAAAATTAAGGCAATGACACCTAATAGCTAAATGCTCCAACCAGTTAAGCAATATATCGACGATCATAAGGAATTCATTCTTAATTTTGACCAACTTGCTAACCTACTCGATAATGTTCATGGTTCTCCAGACGCAATAATTGTAGTGAACGAATACACCACGGACTACCCAAGTCTAATCACTATGCTTGAATCTATTCATCCGTTAGTACAAGACCGAACCATAAAAACAAGATGCACCAAATTGAAAAAGAAACTTATAGCCTGTCTCGGAAAGGAAAAAACAGAAAGCGACTGCTCCTCTCAGGACTGCTTTTAGACTTTTATATTTAGTTTATATAAATTTATTAACTTAGTTATGATTAAAAATATCCTCCAGTGGAACATTAATAGTTACTACCACCATATTGGTATGTTCCAGCTTTTACTTAAAGAAAATAACCCCAATGTGAAACCAATTTGACACCCAATCATAGATTTAATGTAAAAAATTTTAACCTCTTTCAAAAAGATCGCATTAATCAAATCATCGCCAGTGGAGGGGTAGCGATTTTAACAAAACGACACCTTGAAGTAAAATCCTTGCCACTTCAAACCACCCTAGAAGCGGTAGCTGTTTCAATAAAGTTGCCTAACAATAATAAGATAAATCTTTGTAACATATACCTTCCACCAAATCAAAATGTAACCTCAAATGATTTAACAATCCTAATAAATCAAATACCTTCACCAAGAATTATTCTTGGTAATTTAAATGGACATAACATAATATGGGGCTCGGTTAAAACGGATGCAAGAGGAACAATTATATGCGATATAGTTGACCATTATCAAATGTGCCTTTTAAATGATGAAACTCCTACAAGATTCGATACCGCCATAGACCTCACATGCTGTGATCCTAATCTTATGAGCAAAATTGCTGCGTGGGACGTACTCCCCCACACATACAGTAGTGACCACTTTTCAATTAAGATTTCATTCAGTGGAACACCAGACAATAAAATGTTTTGCCCAAAGTGGAATTTAAACTTAGCAGACTGGGATAAATTTACCTCCGAAATTGAAAGTAATATATCAAATTGTAAGCTTAATAATGATATAAATATTGGATTACAAAATTTTACAAAGATGTTAATAAGCAGTGCGGAAACAGCAATTGGTAAAACTAAACATATTTCCAGACATTCTCCGGTACCATGGTGGAACCATCAATGTAAAGTAGCCATTACAGAGAGTAAGAAAGCCCTAAACAGATACAAGCGTTGTAAAACCATAGAAAATAAAATACATTTTAAGCGTCTAAAAGCTCAAGCTAACCTCAAGATTAACACCTCTAAAACCAATTCTTGGAAACAGTACGTTTCCAGCATAACAAGCTCCACACCTGTCACAGAGATTTGGAAAAAGGTAAAAAAAATTTTATCACACACAGCTCACAATATAGCCCCCAAAGAGAACGACCGGAGAACAATGCCTCCAACTAAGAAGAAAAACACTATCTTTTTCGCACGCCTCGTTAACATCAGCAGCTAAAAACAAACCGGTATACTCAAATACTTTTAATAATAAATATCAAAATTATCTTAATGATAAACCTAGACTAGCAAAACCCTATTATGAGAGAATTCGGAAGTACCTGCAAGAATCTCAACTAACACTTACCGATGTACTATCAAATAGGGTAGAAATTTACCCTCCTTGGACAATAAAAGTTCCTGAATGCAATACTACCCTCTCGCTGCAGAATAAAAGCGAAACACCTCATACACTACTAAAAGTTGCCTTTCGTGAAATTTTAGAAAATAAGTTCCATGACCAACAACAAATATATACGGATGCATCCAAAAATATAAAGGGAGTTGACTGTGCTGTAGTAACTGGCACCGGTCTTCTTTAAACTTTCACCACAAAGCAGTATTTTCTTTAGGGAAATGTATGCCATATATCGCGCCATTAAGTACACCAACAAAGCCAATATCCCTTCAGCTGTCATTATCACAAAGTCACTAAGTTCCCTTTAATCACTATAACAAATCTACCCTAAAAAAACAGTAGAACAACTTGTGAAAACAGAGCTATATTGATCCAACAGCAGAATAGGACCATCAAGTTTATGTGGGTATAGTCGCATATAGGAATCCCAGGCAACGAGGAAGCAGATAAATATGCCCGTCAAGCTATTACTTGTGACAATTCTGAAACTTTTAACAAAACATCGCCCGAAGACCTAAAAAATTATTTTAAAACGGTAGTAGTGCGCGAGTGTCAAAACGAGTGGCAAAGTGTAACGAATAATAAATTGCGCTTAGTGAAAAATAATGTGTTTCCACGTAAAAAAAGCGGGCTATCGGGGAACAAATAAGTCATACTAAATCGCCTTCGCCTAGGTCACACCAAACTGACACACGAACACCTTTCAATGAATATAGGCCCACCATTCTGCGATGGTTGCGATACACCCCTTACAGTACAGTACATACTCATTAAGTGTACTAAATACACTAACTCCAGGCATGCTTATAACCTTCCTCAAAACATAAGAATATTACTAGGTGAAGACTCCCACATAACGAACTTGTTCAAATACCTAAAAGACGCAAACCTTATCGACAAAATATAACACAAACTCTGTAAATCTAAACTGTTGTATTTATATTTGTAATGTTTTCACTGTATGTATCCTGTCGCTAATAACCTTAGGGTGGATGCGACAATTGTTAAATAAAAAAAAAAGATCCTATAAAAATTGTCGAATGATTCAATTATAAAAATTTACGAACCTTTCATAAAACTTATGTTGTTCCGTTATGCAGTTAAAAAAATATACCCTCTTCCTATATACAGGGTGAGTCGGGAGGAGCGCACCAAACTCTAGGAGTATATTATACACGTGAAAATAATGTAAAAACTCATATGTTCTCATCCGATTTTCATTTGTTTTCAAGTTATAGCATATTAACAAATAAACAAATTTACACATAAAAATTCTCTTAGTCATAGCGTTCTTTTAATAAATGTTTAAAAATACCGCCATTGACTTCTAAACATTTTCTGCTTCGTCTACGAAGAGCGTTTGTTGCTCTCCTAATTGATTCATTTTTTTCTTCTTTAATATGGGCTGCAGTATTCTCAATTCGTCTAAGTAGTGCATCCCGTGTGTCCACTTTTATTTTGTAGACTTCATTTTTGATCCAGCCCCATAAACAAAAATCTAATGGTGTGCGGTCTGAAGATCTTGCAGGCCAATTAATAGGACCTCCACGACCAATCCAACGCCCTCGAAAACGTTGGTCCAAATGTTGCTTGACCTGACGAGCGACATGTGAAGGAGCTCCATCGTGCTGATAGTACATCTGCATTCTAATATTTACAGAAACATCCTCTAGCAGGCCTTGCAATTCATTTTGTAAAAAATTAAGGTAGTTGTCTCCTGTGAAACGATTCTCCAAAATAAAAGGGCCAATTAAATAACTGTCAACCATACCACACCACACGTTTACAGAAAACCGATGTTGAAAATTGCTTTCGACTGTTGCGTGGGGATTTTCGTCTAACCATACATGATAGTTACGAGTATTAGTAATGCCATCACGGGTAAATGTAGCTTCATCCGTAAAGAGTATACTCAATACAACACGATGATTATTATTTATTCACCGACAAAACTCCATACGGTTAGCGTAATCCTGTGGTTGTGGGTGCTGTACTCTCTGTACGTAATAAGGATATAAGCCTTTTGTGGAATTCCCAATTGAGTGGCAATTCTCCGTGAGCTAGTAGTTGCATCTTCTTCTACTAGATGCAGAATATTTTCTACTTTTACAAAACCTTGTCGAGTAGCGCGTTCAGATGTTATGAAAGCACTGGAAAGATTACCAGTCTCGCACAATTTGTTGAAAACTCTAATAAATACGTTTTTATCAGGAAGTCTTCGGTGTGGAAAACGTTGACGATATTCTTCAGCAGCAGCTGTAGCATTTTCATTACAGAAACCATAAACGAACACCATATTTGCATATTCTAAATTTGAATAAGTATCTGGCATTTTGCAACACTAACAATCACATAAATTCGAAATTAAACGTTCAGTTACTGTTTACTGTACACTGACAGTTTATTTAAACGTCAGAATTATCAAATGCCTTTGAGCCTTGAACATATTGCATACTTTGATAATGTTAAAATTCAGAAGTGGAAAGCTAGATGAACATTTTTAGTTACGCCATATCTTGAAAACAAATGAAAATCGGATAAGAACAATGAGTTTTTTTACATTATTTTCACGTGTATAATATACGCCTAGAGTTTGGTGCGCGCTCCTCCCGACTCACCCTGTATAGAAATATAATTTAAGGTAAGGTTCAGCAGTTTCATATAAATATTACAAATTATATCAAATACCTTGGAGTACAAATTGACTTTCATCTTAACTGGACTAAGCATATAAATAATGCGTTGCCTTTTACCAAAATTTAAATTCCTGCGATCAAATTTGAATGTACATTTAAAACTAATCTATTCAAGTAAAGGTGTTACACCAAAGCATGCAAAATTTTAGTCCTGCAAAAAATATTACTAATAATATTATGTAATAAAATAATCAGATCTTCTCTTCGATATTAGGAAGTTTTTTATGTACTCAGGCTAGCATAATATAATTACAAACACAAATACATGCCTACGGCGTTGTGCTCAAATTTCGTCTTTGTGCGATTTGACCATCATATCCACTCTTGTTGCACAAATGTACTATTTTTTAACGCATCTACAAAACATATTTATTTTTCAAACCTTAATAAACACGACATACTGTTTTTT